CAAATACAAAGTGTCTGTTTGTCTTCTCAAAATGGCATGGTTTGTCTTCGACGATGCGAAATTCAAACAAAAACGGGACGCAGCGCACATCGCTCGCGGACGTCAATCCGAGCCCTCCCATCCCGACTGTAAAAAATCAATCCAAATTCTCAGTTGTTCCTCTCAACATGGCCAGTCTTGTCGTCGAAGATGCGAAATGCGTAGCAGGAGTGGGACGCGGCGCACGTCGCGCGCGGACGTCTGGGGCAACCCCAAGCGGGAGGGGCCATCCGACCTGTCAAAAACCAATACAAGATCGACATGTTCCTTCTCAGCGAGGATGTCCTTGTCGTCGGCTTTGCGACATGCGTGACAGGAATGGAACGCGGTGCACATCGCGGGCGACACGGCGAAATGTCGCTTTCGCTGCGGCGCCGCGCGCATGCTTTCTGAAAGTTGCGCTGCCGCCAAGTCGTGGCGCACATTTTTCGCCCGCCAGTTCCTCGAGAGCCTATGGCCCCCTGGGGCCTCCCATGGTGTCCTGGAACATCCTGGGGCTTCCCAGGGCTTCCCCAGGGCCTCTTGGATCTACCTGGGGCCTCCTGAGGCATCCTGGGGCTTCCTGGGACTCCCTAGGGTTCCCTGACACCTCCTAAGGCTTCCTGAAGCCTCCTGGAACCTCATGGTGCTTCCTCGTCCCTCCTGCGACCTCCTGAGGTTTCCTTGGGGTCGCAAAGGGTTTCCTGCAACCTCCTGGAGCCTCCTGAGGCCTCCTGGGGCCTCCTGAGGCTTCCTGGGGCCTCCTCGGCTCGTGCTGAAATGCCAGCGCAGTCTTTGAGACGCGCCAGGAATTTCCCATCGGTGTCCGCAATCGCGGCTGCATCAGCTGTGGCAAACCACCTTGCCGATCTGATTTCGGTCCCCAGTTGCGCCAGCACTGTGTCTTATGTTGTGGGAGGGCGGGTGGGAATGGCCATGCCATGCTTGACTCGCTCGAGCTGGCTAGCTTGACTCCTACTCCTACTCCTGCTCCTGCTCCCACTCCTAGTCCTATTCCTACTCCAACTCCTACTCCAACTCCTACTCCTACTCCTCCTCCTCCTCCTCCTCCTCCTCCTCCTCCTCCTCCTCTTCCTCCTCCTCCTCCTCCTCCTCCTCCTCCTCCTCCTGATCCTCCCTTCTCCGTCTTCGTCATCCTGAGGGACCCCTAGACGTGAAAATGACACGCTGCAAAAAACATGTGTCTCACTGCAAACGTAATCAAAGGCCCCCGGGGTGCTGGCGGATATGACGACTCAAGTCCGGTGAATCCTTGGAGGCAATCGCAACCTTCGGCTTCCTTGCGGACCACGTCCAAAACGCTGTCGATCAGCTCCGCCCCCTCTGTGTAGTGCCCCTTTGCCCAGTTGTTGCCCGCACCTCTGGCCGACGCGCAGTCTCAAAAATATGAACGATAACTGTGGCCATTCCCGAAAGAAACCAAGCAAAAGAGGAATATGAAGATGAAGAAAACTATCTATATATATCTATACAAATATCGAGGGAATGGAACGATGACTATGGCCAACCCAAAGGAAACCAAGCCACCTCTGATCGACGCGCTGCATCGGTGTGAGAATATGTTTAGGATGGCACAGGCGAACCACTGAAGGAAACTTGTCGCCTGGAGACTCGGCGACTCTAGACCACCCCGTATCATAAGTAAATACGCGGAGGGACGAAGGCCACCGCGACGAAATTCCAATTTTCTCTGAGCGGCGGGGGGCGGCGCGGCAACCAGAGTCTCTCATCAAAAACAGAACGCGACAATGCCACTGCTGAGAGAAATTGATCGTGAAAGAGGTTTGTGAATTTGCCAGCCTGTTTGGCCGAAGACAAAATCCGCCACCGCGCTTGCAGCGGTTGATCGTACCGTGGCTTTGCTTGCTTTGTCTGTTTCGCTGCTTGCGATGAAACTGTAATTAAGTCTCCCGACGCTTCGAGCCCAACACGGCCTCGTGTCTCGGACCAGGTCCCTGCGCGCTTTGCCTTCCAGGCAGAGTATGGTATCAAAAGCAAAGGCTTGGGCGAAGCCCTCCTTGGACTCGACCCCCCGGGACGACCCCCAGCCAACCCTGGACCCCTCCCCTTCTCACGAACGGCGAACGTATCCATATCAACCCTCACGGTCCGGATTCAGGGCGCGATCCCGTGGATACGCGGTCGAATGATACGGTCCGTGCGGGGCATACCCTCAGGGTCGCGGCCCAGGGGCCCAGTCCGCGAGGCTGTGGATACGTACATGTCCTCCGCCCACGACCTTCCAAAGCCCGAGCACAGTGGCGGATTTGCGCGGCAGCGCAGCTGGATTGTCCGGGCGGAAGAGCTGGCCGAACGGCCCCGCCCGGACGCTGTCCATGGTGCCGGGCTCCAGGTCCATCAGCACCGCGCGTGGAACGTAGCGGCCTCCGGTCGCCTCGTTGTAGTACACGTTGATGCGCTCCAGCTGGAGGTCGGAGTCGCCGTGATCCGCCACCGTGACCTCTGACATGTTGAGGCGTAGCAGGATGCCAAGGGCTGTCTGGCAGGGTTTCTGAATGACGGGAAGCGCCTCTGGCCTACAGCAAGTCGAAGTTTCTCTACCCAAGGGCTGCCGAGTGCATCCCACACCACGGTGGCGGATGACAGAAAGCGTCTTCGAGGAACGAAAAGCGAGCTGGACGTTCTGGCTGCATCTGTGACATATCTAAAAAGTCGTAACATACATGTCGCTCGGGGTTCTAAAAAATCAGTCGCTAGCAGATGACGGGAAGCGTCTTCGAGGAACGACAAGCGAGCTGGACGCGTTGGCTGAATATGTATCATATCCGAGAAGGAGTATCATGAAAAAAACTCAGATATGCAAAAACATATGCATTCTCGGATAACGGGAGGCGTCTTCGAGGAACGAGAAGTGAGCTGAACGTTGAGGCTTCATCTGAAACCAAATTAAATTAGGCTGGTGAGAGATCCAACCATATGCAGTTGTGAGGAGCACCGTCGTTGTATGACCCGCAGTCGGAGGAGCTCCCTATAGGGCCACGAAACGTGTGAGGGGTGTCCCAAAATTTGTCCAGTGGGCGCATGCGAAAGCAGTCACTGCGGCCGTCGATAGAATGCCCTATGGGGCCACGAAACGTGTGAGGGGTGTGCCGAAATGTGTGCGGTGGGCGCATGCGAACGCAGCCATTGGGGCCGTCAGTGGAGCTCTGGTGCCGCGAAATCGGTGCGGTGGGCGCATGCGAACGCAGCCACTGGCGCCTTCGGTGGAGCTCTCTGTGGGGCCACGAAACGCGTGAGGGGTGTGCCGGAATGGGCGTGGGTGACGCATGCGGGCGGTGGCACTGGGGCTTGGAGCTCCCTGCGGGGCCACGAAGCGTGTGAGGGGTGTGCCGACACGGGTTGTGCGTGACGCATGCGGGCGGTGGCACTGGGGCCTTCGGTGGAGCTACCTATTGGGCCACGAATTGTGTGAGGGGTGTGCTGAAATGAGTGTGCGTGACGCATGCGGGCGGTGGCACTGGGGCCTTCGGTGGAGCTCCCTGTGGGGCCACGAAACGTGTGAGGGTGTGAAGAAATCGGTGCGTGACGCATGCGGGCGGTGGCACTGGGGCCTTCGGTGGGGGTCCCTTATGGGGCCACGAAACCCATGAGGGGTGTGCCGAAATGCGTGACGCATGCGGGCGGTGGCACTGGGGCCTTCGGTGGAGCTCCCTATGGGGCCACGAAACGTGTGAGGGGTGTGCCGAAATGGGTGTGCGTGACGCATGCGGGCAGTGGCTCTGGGGCCTTCGGTGGAGCTCCCTACGGAGCCATGAAACGTGTGAGGGGTGTGTCGAAGTGGGTGTGCGTGACGCATGGGGGCCGTGACACTGGGGCCCTCGGTGGAGCTCCCTGTGGGGCCACGAAACGTGTGAGGGTGTGAAGAAATTGGTGCGTGACGCATGCGGGCGGTGGCACTAGGGCCTTCGGTGGAGCTACCTATTGGGCCACGAATTGTGTGAGGGGTGTGCCGAAATGGGTGTGCGTGACGCATGCGGGCGGTGGCACTGGGGCCTTCGGTGGAGCGAGCTCCCTCTTGGGCCATGAATCGTGTGAGGGGTGTGCCGAAATGGGCGTCTGTGACGCATACGGGCGGTGGCACTGGGGCCTTCGGTGGAGCTCCCTTTGGGGCCACGAAAGCTTCTGAGGGTGTGCCGAAATGGGCGTGCGTGACGCACGCGAGCGGTGGAAGGGGGGGGCGAGGAAAAAGGAGGGAACGCGGGGACCGTTTGTTCAAAACGAGGGCCGAACACCACAGGATGGCTGGGACAAAAATATCATACATACCGTTCAGGGCCCCCCCAGCAGCCCTCGAAAGTGACGACAGTTTCGCAGATCGAAGCCCCCCAAGGATGGCGAGGTTTAATATGAGTCTGGGTAGGACGTCACAATGCGGCCCCCCCCAGCAGCCCTCGAAAGTGGCGATCGTTTCGCAGATCGCAGCCCCCAAGGGATGGCGAGGTGCAATATGAATCTAAGCAGGACGTCACTATGGTGGCCCACCAGCAGCCCTCGAAAGTGGCGACAGCTTCGCAGACCGCAGCCCCCCATGGCAGGGTCCAGTCTGAATTCGACCCTCGAAAGTGGCGACAGTTTCGCACATCGCAGCCCCCCCGGGGATGGCGAGGTGCAATTTGAATCTGCGTAGGACGTCACTATGCTGCCCCAGCAGCCCTAAGTGGCGACTGCATCGCAGATCGCAACCCCCCAGGGATGGCGAGGTCTAATCTGAATCTGGGAAGGACGTCCATGCCGGCCCTCCCAGCAGCCCTCGAAATTGGCGACATTTTCGCACATCGCAGCCTCCCAAGGATGGCGAGGTCTAATCTGAATATGCGTAGGACGTCACTATGCTGCCCCAGCAGCCCTCGAAAGTGGCGACACTTTCGCAGACCGCAGCCCCCCACGGGATGGCGAGGTCTAATCACCCCCCAAGGGCGGCGAGGTCTACTCTGGATCTGCGGCGGGAACCCACTACGCTGGCCCCCCAGCAGACCTTGAAAACGGCGACAGTTTCGCAGATCGCAGCCTGTCAGGGATGGCGAGGTCGAATCTGAATCTACGGCAAGCACCCACTATGCTGTCCCCCCAGCAGCCCTCGAAAGTGGCGACACTTTCGCAGACCGCAGCCCCCCACGGGATGGCGAGGTCTAATCACCCCCCAAGGGCGGCGAGGTCTACTCTGGATCTGCGGCGGGAACCCACTACGCTGGCCCCCCAGCAGACCTTGAAAACGGCGACAGTTTCGCAGATCGCAGCCTGTCAGGGATGGCGAGGTCGAATCTGAATCTGCGGCAAGCACTCACTATGCTGTCCCCCCCAGCAGCCCTCGAAAGTGGCGACAGTTTCGCACATCGCAGGCCCCCAAGGATGGTGAGGTCTAATCTGAATCTGCGTAGGACGTCACTATGCTGTCCCAGCAGCCCTCGAAAACGCAACAGTTTCGCAGATCGCAGCCTGCCAGGGATGGCGAGGTCGAATCTGAACCTGCGGCAAGCACCCACTATGCTGGCCCCCCCGGCAGCCCTCGAAAGTGGAGACAGTTTAGCAGATCGCAGCCTCCCAAGGATGGCGAGGTCTAACCTGAGTCTGCGGCAAGTACCACCTCTGCTGGCCACCCCAGCAGCCCTCGAAAGTGGCGACAGTTTCGCCGCGGCGAGCACCCACTATGCCAGCTCCCCAGCAGCCCTCGGAAATGGCGACAGTTTCGCAGATTGCAGCCCCCAAGGCATGGCGAGTCTAATCTGAATCCGCGGCGAGTGCCCACTATGCTGGCCCCCCAGAAGTCCTCGAAAGTGGCGACAGTTTCGCAGATCGCAGCCCCCCAGGGATGGCGAGGTTTAATATGAATCTGCGGCGAGTGCCCACTATGCTGGTCCCCCAAGCAGCTCTCGAAAACGGCGACGGTTTTGCAGATCGCAGCCCCCCAGAATGGCGAGTCTAATCTGAATCTAGATAGGACGTCACTATGCTGCCCCCCCGGCAGCCCTCGAAAGCGGCGACAGTTTCGCAGATCGCAGCCCCCCAAGGATGGCGAGGTCTACCCTGAATCTGCGGCGAGAACCCTGGTGATCTGCGTAAGACGTCACTCCGCTGCACCCCCCAGCAGCCCTCGAAAGTGGCGACAGTTTCGCAAATCGCGGCCCCCCAGGAATGGCGAGGTCGTATCTGAATCTGCGGATAGCACCGATGCTGGCCCCCCCCGCAGCCCTCGAAAGTGGCGACCGTTTCGCAGATAGCGGCCCCCCTCAGGTGTCGAGGTCTAATCTAAATCTGGGTGGTGCCACACATCGCTGGACCCGCCAGCAACCTTCGAGAGTGGCGACAGGTTCGCAGATCGCAGCCCCACAGGGATGACCAGGTTGGCTGCAAGCTGGTACGCAGGAAGGAGCGAGGTAAGAGGCAAGTAGGAAAGATGAGAGGATGAGGGAGGCGGAAGGAGGAGAAGGAGACGCGCGCGCAGTGCTATACTCAAATAAGAGTACCCAACCAATGATGGGTTGGTACAAAAACACCAACTAGTCGTCCTTTGTAGTGTGTTGCAGGATGCTTTCATTCTCGCCTTGTCGGGTTTCCGTCAGCTCAGGACGGCCCAAGAAGCCTCCAAAATGGCTGCAAGACGGCCCAAGGGGCCCCCAAGAGTCCCAACACGACCAAAGAGGACTCCATGATGGCTCCAGAGGCCTCCAAGACGGCCCAAGAGGGCCTCTGGAGACGCTCAAGACCTTAGAAGACCTTTCGACGGCTCAAGACGGCGCCCCACGACGGCCCCAAGGCGCCCCCCGTACGACAAAGAGGGCCCCAAGACGGCCCAGGCGAGCCACAAGACGGCCTAAACTGGTCTCGAGACGACCCAAGAATGCCACACAACATGACAACACGAGCCCAAGACGACCCAAAGACGGCCCGGATGAGCGCCATGGGAGCTCCTCAGGAAATGAAATCGAAAGGTGTCGCGTGTGAAAGCATTCCTACTCACCCTGCTCCTGCTCCTGCTCCTGCTCCTGCCACTCCTCCTCCTCCTCCTCCTCTTCTTCCTCCTCATCCTCCTCCTCCTCCTCCTCCTCCAACTTCATCTCCTCCTCCTCCTCCTCTCCTTCCTCCTCCTCCTCCTCCTCCTCCTCCTCCTCCCGCCTCCTTCCTCCTCCTACTCTCCTCCTCCTCTTCCTCCTCATCCTCCCCTCCGCCTCCTCCTCCTCCTCCTCTCCTCCCTCCCTCCCCTCGCTCCCTCCCTCCCTCCCTCCCTCCCTCCTCCTCCTCATCCTCCTCCTCCTCCTCTTCTTCCCCCTCCTCCTCCTCCTCCTCCTCCTCCTCCTCCTCCTCCTCTCCTCCTCCTCCTCCTCCTCATGCTCCTTCCTTCCTTCTCATCCTCTCCTCTTCGTCTTCCTCATCCTTCCTCCTCCTCCTCCTCTTTCCTCCTCCTCCTCCGAATGCCCTCCTAACACCATCAGCATCCTCCTC